ACATTTAGTCGTCTTGTTTTGTCACTAAAATCTCTTCAGCTTGTGTTAACCACAGATTGGGCTTCTGAACAAAACACTTTCAAAAAATCATTGACTGAGCTGCTCGAGCTAAAATGCTAACTTATTTGTGGGTTAATTTCTGCAACACTCAGGCTTAGACTACCAGGGGGACTTAAACACACACTTGGCCAATTATAATATTATTATGATGATATAACATTGTGCTGGCATTTATATTTGAAGTATCATTCTAAAACTTATGATAGACATCTGGTCTTTCTCAATTCGAAAGGACAATTTGTAATTTGGTTCAGGACACTGCTGGACACACTCATGGGTGGTAGTACAAATGACTCTGACACTTACTTCACCCTGAGGTGGTTCAGTATCACACAGAAAGCTGTTTGCACATGTCCACACCCCTATGTGTGGGCTGTTAATGTAATAATAACATTATTCATGGCCCCCCACTTGACCACCACCCCTTCCTTTCATTGAAACAATAGCTGCTAAGCCAGAGAAAAGATGGATGTTGTCAGTATACAAACAAACCTTGTTAAGAATTATTTACACACTAAATAACACTGTTTATACAAACTTTTTCTTCCTAAATATTGAATGGGAAAATCTGATCTCACTTATGAATCTGTCAAATAAATGTAGCGGAGTAAAAAGAATAAAATTGGCTAATGCGTGCTTAAGTACAGTACTTGAGTAAATGTACTTTTCACCACTATGTATGCAACACAACATCTACTGTAGTGTAATAGTATTGTAATATGAACCAACAGCTGTCTTTTTCTTGTACAGAGGTTACATTACTTAGAAGGCTATGTGACCATGTTCAATTCTCAGACATATGTGTGCTCAACATATGGGGCTAATAGTCTAGCAGCAAGTCCTCAAAAAAGGCTTTAGTTTTCGAGATACCCCTACCCGAGGTAGAACAAATGACAACAATGATTTTTCTTATCTTTAGGGTCTCCCATTAATGAAATTGATTGTTGTCAAATGTTATTTTGGGGGAAAAAATTTTTTTTTGGTTGTTCTTTAGAACTACCCCAATCCCTGAAAAAGAGCCAAATTAGACCAGGCCGAATATGGGAAAGGTGACAAAAAAGCCCATAACTTGAGAATGACCACTCTTTTCGTCTTCAGATTTGCTGAGGTATGAACCAGGTGGCTGTCCTACATCACCAAATAGTCAGACAATTATTTAACTAAAACAATACTGAATTATAGTCCTGTAAACTTAGATTTATTTTAGACGGAAATTGTACTTTTGGTGATAGGAACATAGGACTCAATCACTTTTCTCTCATTTATCAGAAAAACAAGAAATCCCTAAAAAATATACCATTACTGAATTGTCTAGGGTGCTATTGAACACTAACCAGTAGCTGTATGGAAATATCTGGTACAGTTATATTGCAAATGAGATTTCTTTAGACATAGGCCTACCTCTTCTCTGAGACAGTCAAATTCCGAATGGGGGATAAGTGGCACAATAGCCTATGAGTTAAGAATGCTCACTCTGATGGTCATTATATTTGGAGAGGGAAATATATATAATAGTCAGAATAAGAGTAACCCAATACAATAAAGTGTATTAGTTCTAAATTGCAAGCCTCTAAAACATAGGTGTAAATAGTACAGGTTTTATTGAAACTGGAACCTTAATTCAAAGTACAGTATACAAATCATCAAATAATTCTGTGAGAGGTCAAGTATATAAATACTAGAATATAATGTGAAATGTCAGGTTCCTCAGAAACGTTAGGGGACACATTTTGACATTCTGCACAGCAGGTGCAGAACTCTGCACAGGGAAGGCCAACAGAGAGGCACTGGCACTTTCCACTCTCTCCACACTTTGCATCTTTGCAATACAAGTGAGTAATGTCTCTCACTTCTGTAGGTGCTGGGGGTTTTGTAAATAGCACTGGTTGAATGGCCCCATCTCTGACAATCCACCCCTTGCCAACAGGACTCCATAACAAGGGTTTGGGTTCGGGCTGTGACACCATATCGCTGTCTGAAACATTGCTTTGTACATGTTGTTGAAATGCATCCTCGGTTGGTGGAAGATTTTCCGAGGCTGCATCTGTTGTGATGCAATTATGAACCTCAGTTCATCCAGATTTGTGTACATCAGTCCAATTTCCTTTTTCTTTTTTCCATATAGCAGAAGCGCAAATTCTCTTGCGACTGGCAAAGACTCTTCCAAGCTGGCAGAGGGTCCAAAATGGGCCAGATCTTTGAGCTCGCTGAGATGGGTCTTGAGTTTGGTGAATAGGTCTTTCCTATTCTGTACAAACTACTTGTTGTGCCACAGCCAGTGAGTGCATGACATGCTGGTAGACAGTTAGACATGTAGTTGCCGCCCAGCTTCAGGACCATCTCCAACTAAACGGCCTCTTTGAGAAATTCCAGTCCGGTTTCCGTTCCGCCCACAGCACTGAAACAGCTCTGGTCAGGGTCACACTGATGGCGGCTGACACTGGTTCCCCATCTCTCCTCATCCTCCTGGATCTGACTGCAGCATTCAACACTGTAGGCCATAACATCCTCCTTCAGCGCCTCCAATACACCATCGGACTCTCTGACTCCGCCCTGAGCTGGTTCCAGTCCTACCTGTCTGGAAGAACAGAGTACGTCTCCTTGGGAGGTACAAGGTCCCAGACACACCCTGTCACCTGTGGTGTCCCTCAAGGGTCGGTCCTCGGGCCCACTCTGTTCACCCTGTACACTCTGCCCCTTGGCCGTGTCATCAGCCAGCATGGAATATCATTCCATTGCTACGCTGATGACACGCAGCTATATATAAAGACAGACCCTATCCCACATGCATCCTCACTGTCACCATCATCATCACCGTTCCCATCAACATCCTTTAACACCTGCATTGAGGAGATAAGGCTTGGATGCAACAAAACTTCCTGCAGCTAAATAGCTCCAAAACAGAGGCTATTTTAACATACCCCTCTCTGTATCAGTTACCAACCTGGGTGTAAGATTTGACCAACATCTGACCTTTGACACCCACATCAAACACCTGTGCAAAACCTCCTACTACCACCTCAGGAACATTGCAAAACTCCTGTCAGATGCTGAACAACTGGTCCATGCCTTCGTTTCCTCAAGGCTTGACTATTGTAACGCTCTCCTCATCGGGACTCCTAGCGGGAGCCTTCAGAAGCTCCAATACATACAGAACAGTGCCGCGGATCCTGATGAGGGTGAGAAAGTACAACCACATCACACCCGTTCTTCATTCCTTCCACTGTCTTCCTGTCTCATTCAGGATTGAATACAAGATCTCACTGCTCGCCCATCAGTGCATCCACGGGAATGCTCCTTCATACCTCAAAGAACTACTCACATCACAAACCTCCACACGCAACCTCCGTTCCACAACAAACCATCTGCTTCGCCCCCCGAGGACCAAACTCCGCTAAATGGGGGATCGGGCTTTCTGTGCAGCTGCTCCTCACCTGTGGAATTCCCTCCCAGACCACCTGAGTACTCCACATACCACTGACGCCTTTAAGAAAGTCCTAAAAACCTTTCTTTTAAAAAAAGCCTTTGATTAAACTTTTGTTTATTTAGTTTGTTTCTTACGCCTCCTGTAGCACTTTGGGATTGCTTTTAGCAATGAAACTTATGATAGACATCTGGAGGCGTGTGGCGCAGTGGATGCATGTTGTTGTGTCCCTGGGCAAGACACTTCACCCCAAATTGCTCCTGTGAGGATTGCCCACAGTATTGAGTATGTAAGTCGCTTTGGATAAAAGTGTCTAACAAGTAACATGTAATGTAATGGTCTTTCTCAATTCGAAAGGACAATTTGTAATTTGGTTCAGGACAACATGTTCTAAACACTGCTGGGCACACTCATGGGTGGTAGTACAAATGACTGACACTTACTTCACCCTGACGTGGTTCAGTATCACAGAAAGCTGTTTCCACGTGTCCACACCCCTCTCATGTGCGGGCTGTTAATGTAATAATAACATTATTCATGACCCCCCACTTGACCACCACCCTTTCCTTTCATTGAAACAATAGCTGCTAAGCCAGAGAAAAGATGGATGTTGTCAGTATACAAACAAACCTGGTTAAGAATTATTTACACACTAAATAACACTGGTTATACAAACTTTTCAACAAACAACTTAAAAAGTGTTTTTTGTTACTTAAATATAATGTTGGATGGTTTTATCTATACCAAATAATCATATTTAAAAAGTTCTTCCTAAATATTGAATGGGAAAATCTGAATTTATAAAGTCACTCGTGCATAAATCTGTCAAATAAATGTAGTGGAGTAAAAAGAATAAAATTGGCATCCAAAATGTAGTAGAGTAGAAGTATAAAGTAGTAAAAATGAACTCTAATGGGTGCTTAAGTACAGTACTTGAGTAAATGTACTTTTCACCACTATGTATGCAACACAAAATCTACTGTAGTGTAATAGTATTGTAATATGAATCAACAGCTGTCTTTTTCTTGTACAGAGGTTACATTACTTGTGGCTATGTGACCATATGTTCAATTCTCAGACATACTGTGCTCAACATATGGGGCTAAGGGCACATGTGTGGGAAACTGATCTCACTTGGTTTCGGGCCTACAATACACTACTATTGGGGCAGAACTAAGTAATCGTTTAAAAAATGTTATTAACTCATAAACTCCACAGTATGGCAGCAGACACCTTGCCTAGCCACATGAGGCGTACAGGAAGCTTCCAGACAGACAGACAGACAGACAGACAGACAGACACGATGTAGGCTGAAGGCCTGTTGGTGCAGTTTCGCCCCCTCCCCTTTCTCGTCTGCATCTCTTCCCTCCATAGGAGCCTAACGTCACGCCTACTGTTTGGGTTATTCGATGAGTTCTCGCGACATGTCACCCCCCAATGAAAAATGTGTCGCGATCGATTAGTTCTCGCGAGATCCCCTTTATTCGGATCCCACCCTTTAATGATGCCGACTGCAGTGTGTATAATAGCAGCAAAGGCAGCTCCGGGAGTCTAAGGAGGAGCTGCTGCAAGGTCGACAACAGCATCCTGCTATTAACAACAGGAGGGGGACGGAATTTAGTCCAGAAGCCGAGCGAGTTAAAGTAGTATCGAGGTTTTTTTTGGATTTTCAGCCGCGGAAGAAGGAGGAGGAGAGTGGCCAAAAGTTTCCCGGCTGTACCCTCATGTTCAGAGGCAGCTAACGAGCTACTAGCGCTCGCTGCTTTGCGCGTGCTCCTCCGCTCGAGAGAGGAACTGTTGACCGTTTGTCAGTTGGGTGACGGTTCAAATATTCCTCCACTAAGTTTGTGGGCCAGAGCGTGTTTTTAAAACCCCACACTGTGTTCCCGTTGTGTGTGCCATGTCAGCTCCATCCCCAACACCCCCTGCCTCGGCAGAATGTGATTTTTTAGCACCGGACGCGGGGGGGGCCGAGGCCGCTCGGTCCGACGCCCAGTCAGAGCCGTTTCCAGGTGGACATTGTGACCGAGGCAGCTGGAGCTTCGGGGGATAAGTCTCCGATCTCCGACGCCTCAACCGCTGTCCCACCCGGCGACAAGGCCACAGACGGTTCCGGTGCTGACCCGGGTGGAGAGGAAGCAAAAGGCCGGTTTCGGGTGGTGAACTTCGCGGATCCGAGTGCGGCGGGAAGCCCGGCCTCTCCGGAACCGGCTGACGGGCTCCAAAACGGGGACACGGTGATGAGCGAGAGCAGTTTGCATTCATCCACAGGGGGCCAGCATCACTATCACTATGACACCCACACCAACACCTACTACCTGAGGACTTTTGGGCACAATACCATCGATGCCGTGCCCAACATCGATTTTTACCGGCAGACAGCAGCGCCTCTTGGGGAGAAGCTGATCAGACCCACCCTGTCGGAGCTTCACGATGAACTGGACAAGGTAAGCCCCTCCATATGTCTGGGAGAAACCTTAGGCATGTTGCTGCTCATAATAAATCGTTTGTATCGTTAATTAGGCAACGTTATATAAAGGAATGTACACCATGACTGCAGGAATACGATCAATTCAAAATGCACACATCCTCAATTCGCTAAAATTAGCTACTATACACGTTATCATGAGCATCCAGGCCATGTGCTGTGCATAGATATTGGCACATGTGCAGATAACAACATCATGTGCTTTTCTTTGGCTCCTTCTGGGTCACAGGCGAGACTGCTTTGTTTAAGTGTTAAGACAGAAGGTGTGACTGAAAATGACAGGACCTTTGGTGGTGCTATCTTATGTCTATATGGTCTAGCTCCGTCCTTTTTGTTTACTTTGTGAACAATTAATTTATAAAAGCCACACAACAGTTTGAGTCAGGCGATAATCTTGTGAATGTCTCTCCTGTGATCTGTAGTGTGTTGTGAAAACTTCAGGGTTTGTTGATCTTTCTTTTTTCTTTTGGAATGTTCTGTTTAATTCACAAGTGGATTATTGAGGTCCAAATGTGATAGTCCTGGCTCAAAGGGCTCTGTGCAGGCAAAACTATTTCTGCAGTGTCTTTTTAAAACAAGAAAATGTCTCTTTAAAACTCTTGCTACAAAGTTTGGAGTATATTGTATAATGTTGGACCACAACTAGGACAACTAGGCTACAAAAGGCCCACAACAAAAGAATAGTATATTGATGTTATGACTCTTCTTCCACCAAAGATTCTCAAAATGACTAATCATTTTACCATTGTCAATACATCTTGGTAAGGCCTATATCACAAAAGCACCTGTTGTCGTCTTATGTGTCTTTTGGTCAAGTGTCTGGATCTCAGTTTGGCATCAATGAGCTCCAATCATATCTCATCATATTCATACGAGTGATTTACAAGAGTGGTTTCTACAGTATTACAATGAATTAAAGCATGTTTATCTGAGCGTGAGTCACTGGTAATAGTCAAGGTTACATTTTGATAAACCTCAAAGTACTTGTTGGCGGCAGTAACCTCATAGCCCTGATGAATTGTAGCTGCTTACTCAATAGAGCTATTCCAAAGCTTGAGCTGTAAACACAGAGGCTATGAATAGAAGACATTCATGAATTAATGCAGTATGTAAGCTGTGGCAAACTTTGTTTTTAACTTCACATTCCCAAGAGCCTTTTCCTAATTAAGAATACAGTTCTCTGATGCAGCATAGTTGATAACACAGATCGAGAATATCTTCTTTAGCTGAGAGTACACTGGACTATCCCCTAAGAAAGGAAGAAATGCAACAACATTTTAACATACTTTTGTCACTGTTTAATTATACTCTGAATTAATTTACGTCTTAAGAAGGTGTGTTTGGGTTTTGCACAGGAATCCTTAGAAAACTTGAATGGTACAGCATTGAGTTTGAGATTCATTTTGCATGTGTTTAACAAATAAAGCCATTTTAACAGAAAACACCTCTGTTATGGAGTGCATGCAGTGGGATTCTCCAAGCACTGTGGTTGTCTTCCAATCTTTCCTTGACCTTGTATGACATTATATATCAAGGTCAAGCAAAAGTGGTTACAAAACATATGCCTTTTTTTGGTATAATGCATCTTTTTAGTTCTGAATAAAGGGTATCAAAGGTATTGTTTGTTAGAGAAACCAAGCTATCATAGTGCCACTTATACTTTTGAAGGAATTGAAAACATGCCCAGTCCTTGTTGCGTGTGTATTTAAACGCGATTGAGGATGAGTCGCCCAATGATCATGATCAGTGAGTTTTCTCTGCATGTTCCTGTTTATACTCTTATGTGGTTGAGGTACAGAATAACATTTTATATTGCACACGTCCTGTGCTGTTGTTGGGTAACTTCCTTTTGGTAAATCTTCATGCCACCACTACGATGACTGTAACACTTGACATGAACTGAATAACTTAGGACTCAAAGTGGTCATACACATTGAAATGGAGCTCCATTAGTTGCATATCAAGTGCTTATTGCTTCTTGCAAAGGTTACAGATGAATCGAACTGGTATTTGACCCGTTGTACCACTTTCGATTTAACATAACAAAGGAAGTAATAAAAGGGATAAGAACATTGCTTTTTATAAACATGTCATGGGTGCTGTTTTCTGTCCAGAGGCAAGTGTTGGCTATGATGTTGAGGTGATTTACCAAAGCGATGTCTCGCCTAACATCCACTAAGTCCAAGCCATTGTAAGAAGTGAACCTAAGATTAATGTTCATAAATCACGAGCAGAGTAGACAGTGGAAGTATCAGGCTGTTCATGTGAAGGCCATCGTGTGGAATGCCTTGCTGGCATTGCTGGGTGAGATATGACTCTAATGTAATGACTAATATAGAGAGAAAATTGTTAAAACACAGCACATTGGCTCAAGTTCTGAACTATAAACCAGATACAGGGCGGATACAATACTTTCCTACTGTCTGCTAGTCTTTAAAATATATAATACCTGCACAATAGGGGTATTAAAAGTCAGTCTGAATAATGACTACTGCAGATTGCATAACATAGAATGTGTAGACTTGTACTCACCAATGTATGTGTAAGTGCCTAAACGCAGGCTAAAATAACATCTCGCCAGAATGTATACAAAACAAATATTCACAGGCTCTTTTTATTCATATTGCACCCTTATTTTAATGTAATTGTATTTAACCTTATGACATTTTCTGTAGTTCTTTTGTGATGAGTGAGTACTTGTTTTTAGGAAAATTGGTTTGAAAACAGAAAACGTTTCCTGCTGTGTGATGGAACTATCGTGACTTTTAAATTCCATGGATTAGGTAAACACATGATTCCTTTTTTAAATCTCTCACAAGTTTCTTGTTTTCCAGAAACACTGCAGTATGAAATCATGAAAGGAAGGTTTATCCAAATTGCCAATCCCATTCCAAACAGAAGTTATTGCTCAGCCGTAAAATATCCTGCAACTGCCCATATATTCGTCACTTTCTCAATTCAATTACCAAACATGTGTATGCTAAAAATCGGATATTTGGACATTTTATAACTTTTAAATACCTACATGATTATCATCCTCAAACACTATTGATTGGACTCTATTGATTGGACTCTTAGGTTCAAGGTTCACTCTGTGGTGCCATACGTTGACTTGCATACAAATCTAGACAGATATTTACTGCTCGAGGCTTACTGTTACTACTCTAACTGGAAATGGTTAGTCTCCTGATCCTATCGATACACAGGAAATGATGCAACACCCCATGGATTATGTTGTTGCTGCATTGAGATAAGTGAAATCCAGCCAGCAATAGTGCGTTTGTAGTTCCTATTCAGGGCCTGTTGTAAGGTGTTCAGTTATCAAGAAGTGAACTTGATTTCTGGGTTACGCTCGGTCAATTTGTCCAGATGACTGCCTCCTGGAACAGTTTAGAATTTGAGATGTGAGGGTCAAGGACTCCCTCAGCCTCCTACATAGCTTTTGATTTACTGAATGTAGCTTTCATGTGCATGATGAAGCAAATTCTAACACTTAAGGATGCAGAATGGTGGCCGTATTGCTTGGGCTTGGGTAGAGTTTGGACTTCTAATTCAACATCAAAAGTTAGGTTTAGTTGAATACAGTTCAATCAGGTCAGGCTGATGGCTGCCAGTTAATTTTCTGATTTGTTGGATGGTTTTAATCTATCAAATAATCATATTTAAAAAGCTTTTCCCAAGTATTGTCAAAATCTGAATTTATAGAGTTACTATTAAGAAAATCTGTAAAATCAATGTAGCGTAGTAAAAAGAAAATGTCGTTGGATTATAAAGTAGTATAACTTAGTACTTAAGTACAGTAATTGAGTAAGTGTACTTGGTTACTTTTCACCATTGATGGTCAGCTGTATAGTAAAAGGAAGAGGGAAGGAGGAATGCTTTTTCATTGTTTTTCATTATCTATGAAGCAACTGATTAGCCCATATCCTGCCATCAAGTAGCTTGTGATGAAAAGCTGGTCATATTCTCTGAAGGTTGTTAAAGAGGGCTCCTATTGTTTTACCCAAACAGAATGTATTGGGTCTTCATGGCAAGCAAGTAGTACAGTATCAGTAGTTGAGCGTGTTTCATCACCACACAATTACTGCGGCTGCAGATATGCACGATCAACTGACAGACGGCAGGATTTAATTAACAGCTGCGGTTGGATAGAGAAAGCACTGTTTGGCTCAATATTTGGAAAATAGCTCTGGGACTATGACATCGGGGGGTTTGTGGTTGTTTGAAGGTCATGGTGACCCTGATGTCTCCACTATATCCTATCTAACATTGAAAGGTTTTTCCCTCATTGTGCTGCACGCCCAGATCGAAATGTGGAATGGAAATTCCACTGAACCAATTGACCGTTGCCCATGGACTTTTCACAACAATCAATGAGTCATTCAGCGTACTATGGGAGCAGTTATAGAGACTGATTTCACTGCATTTCCCCGATGACCGCTGAACACTTCAGGTTCTTCATGTAACCTGATAGGGGCACAGATGGTGAGCTCCACAAGGAGAAAGTGGGCTTTATTTGCAATGGGGAAAGTCCAAGCAGGAAGGTCTCCGTGTCCCGGTGTGTCCCTCAGCAGCGGCCACAGCAGGGCAGAGTGCTGGAGGTCTTTATTGACGAGTCAGAAGTTGATGCCAGGGCAGATTTATTCAGTCCGGACCAGCCAAGCATAAACGCGCTGTGCTTAAATATACCCTCCTCCTTTAGTGTCATTCCAGTGTAGCAGCTCTACTGTGTGTGGAAAGGCATCGTTTCAGCATGCCCTTGGTGTATGTAAATGTAAGGTGATGTTTGAATTAGCTCCATGAAAAATGTGCTCCTAAATAAAAAAATGCTGTATCAACCATAAAACAATCCTCATGCCAGTTGTTGCAATTGTACAATTTTACTTGTGGCCTTTACAGTGACAGTTTCAGGATAAGGATACACATGTGTCTGACATGTCATTCACTTTTGTAAATGTA